TTTTACAGTTATGAAACACCTAGAGTTGTTACTGACTCTTACCTTGAAGTAAGTAATAATCATTAGATATATATATAAATACAGAATCAAATGCAAAGTACGAATCTAACTGTATTAGCAATATTTTACAAACTACACTGATATTTCAGCTACCATACATTACATATGTACGTGTATATTTACTCATAAATGCTTAAAGTTTAGTTATTTTTCTTAAAATATGAACAATAAATGAAAATTACATAGAAAAACAACGATTTCTAATACTTACGAGAACTTAAAGGTGATAGGATAATATTTGGCTCCAATGTGCCTTTAGTGCTAAGCCTCATACATTTTTTCAAGTAGAGGGTGAAGAAACATAATTTTTGTAAACTTCAAATGTACATTTTAGAAAGAAAAAATACATTACTTTACTAGTACACCCAAAAAATAAACAAATTCACTTACCCCTCAAAATAAAACTGCATTACTGCTAACTCCCTTCACTATCTCACTTGTGTTTTGCACTTATGTCCTTCACACCTATTCTTTTATAGCTGCTTCTTTTTTTCTGTTGTTCACACTGTAGACTGTTCTGTCCACATGTCTTTATACCAAAGAATTTCCTACATCTGCGACCTCTTTATACTTGGAACTACCAACCCTTTCTGTCCAAGTTGTTTTTCTTTTCTGATTTAACTCCACTTTCTTATTTTACTTGAAGAATACAAATGAATGTTGTGTCAAAATACCAAATATGTTCCTTCAAAAATAAACCACTTCGTTATGTCTGTAAATCATTCTTTGTCAGTTTATTAAGGGCTGAAAACTGTTACTTAATGCAGCATGCCCTCAACATGCATTATTCTCAAAACTTCGTTATCCTTTTCATATTTCTGATATCTCTTCTTATTTACTGCAAAATCTTTCCATAGAAAGTTCCAGTTCTTCTATGAGACATTTTTCACAATTTGTACTTCTCAGTATAAAATGCTCTAATTAAGGCCTAATTTCTCCTCCAACCTGCAAAGAAATTCTCCTCATTACTAGCCTCTATAAAAGTGTATGTTAATCTATAGTTTTCAGAGAAAATCCACACTTTGAAAATGTCATACGCAATTTGCATGCATGCCCTAAATACCTACACTGTTTCTAACTATATTAACATGAAAAAGTATTAACAGATAGAAATAGGTTAAAGTAAAAACATAAGGTATCATTGCTATAGCGGAAGCACAATTTTTTGTTAGTATAGTTCTGTGGATTATGTAATTCAGGCATTAGATTTAGTCATAATTTATATAAATGTGGCTTCATTTTGATATTTGGGGCTGCTCGGGTCCAAATCTAGATGTATGTACGTCTAAGCTGACCTACTAAGTTTTAAATTTCAGCCACATGTTGGTACTTGCCTCAGGACATAAGATAGCTATGATAATGCTGTATTTGCTGTGAATATTCATTCAATTGGGGAGGGAGAACTGGCAATAAATTTTTTTCTCCGACTGTTGTTATTTTGAAAAAATTTTGTGCTCTGCTACGTTTTATGAGGTTAAATTTTTTGTAGCAAAAACAGTGTATTTCTTTAACATAACTTTAATTGTGTATTTTAAATGGAGAAAGGGTAAATCTGTGTTTACATGTAAATAAAAGCATAGGTTCATTTTGAAGTAGTCTTGACTTACTGTATCTCTAAGTTAAAATTAGCTAGTCATGAGATGTTACAGGAAATACACTAATATGTGATGGTCTTCTGTACAAACAGTTTCTGACAAATTTAAGGTACAGCTGACTCTCAAATCAAACAAATGTTGCATTTTTGTAAATTAACTGAACTGAACTTGGAAATGTATTAATGTGTTTATACATGTTTGCATTTTATAAGTATACTGGATATTTAAAGTCAGTGGATTTTTTTTTAATACCAAAAATATGTGCTTTTGTACCGTAGCTACACCCCAGTAGGACGTTCATTTTTCTCCTCCCCTGATGGCTACTACCACCCTTTGGGAGGTGGAAGAGAGGTGTGGTTTGGATTTCACCAAAGTGTACGGCCAAGTCAATGGAAGATGATGCTAAACATTGATGGTAAGTTGGCAAGAGCTCACCTGTGTTACTGTAAACAGGGTAATGTTAGTTAATTTTACATATGAAAACTTTCATGTATATTTTTGGAATTCTGTTGTTTTTTTTCATAGTTATATATTTTTTGTGATCACAAGCACTGGACTTTTAAAAGATACTACCATGCTTTTTATCTCTTTCGACATGGGCTTGGACCCTGGGACCGACCTCATAACCATTTTGTGCTTGTTATAGTTTTCATGCTATAACTTTTAATATTTTAAGTGTATCCTTACAAAATTTTATGGACTTGTAGTAAACATTAGAAGACTTTTGCACACAAAAGGGTTGGAGATTGTTGTGTTCATTAATCCTATTGTTTCTGTTGTGTCCTGTTTCATGGTTTTCTAAATTTGCAGAAAATGCTCACACAGCATTTCACACAATACATGACCTCTACCTAATGATAGCCACACTAGTGGGTGATATTTTGTAATAAAGTTAAATAAGTAATCTATTCAAAAGCTGTATCTCCGGACTTTTATAGAAAACTAAGTAATTCCGATACAGTACTTCCCTCCGCTCACAAGATTAGCTATTCTTGTCCAGTGCTGCCCTCTTTATGCAAATTTTTTTCTTTACGCATGCTACAAGCCTTCTGCTCCCCCCTGTTGGAATCATGTCTCAGTGTAAATCATCGTGTGTCAATTCTCCACCAATAGGAGCATGACATACTCGTAATGCATGTGACTCCCTCTATACACCTCTTCTGAACTGTCACTTCTCGATTGACAGCATTTGTGCTCAGACGTGTTCCTTTTTGGTTGTTTAAAGTTTCACGTTAATCTTTAGTATACTCAAGAAGTGGTCTTCATTTATTTTCACTTCTAGTTTCTATTAAGACTGTTTCTTAACTTCACTTTTATCCCAGTTTATTACAGTCGCATTGTTCTTTATACTTTTGATTATTGGTTGACTCTTCCTCATTATGAATTCCAAAGTTCACGTTACGACTTCAAGGATCACACTAGCGCTATCTCTCAGGCCTTAAGTGCGGATGATCCGGCAGGGTATTTATTTGCTGGGAGATTGAAAGTTATATGGGTCAACCCCTGACTAAATACACTTACAAGGAGTGAGACGTCAAATTGCAGTTCACCCCTTCGATTGGGAGCCTTCATCTTAATCTCGCATGAATGTCGGTTCCTAGTGTCATGGGTTTTGGATGTAGCTGACTTACTGATTACGGTCTATCACGCCCTAGCCACTCTACGCCTAGGGGCATATTCATTGTTTTGCCCACTTTTGTACTTTGTGGGACTGAGTTACGTATATATATATATTTACAGGGTTAGGATCACTATCCTGCCACTGTTCTCTCTCACTTGGATGTGCTTCTTTCTTGTTCCCACCCTTATCTACTACACATTTCACAGACGGGCAAAGAGTATACCTGGTTCAAAAGTGATGCGGTTCCCCTCATCAGATTACGGATCTGACTCTCTCATTTCCAGGGGTATCTTTCGGACACTTTCAGGAGGTACTTCTGTCAGCTAATCAATGTGTGATTCTAGCTAATCTTGTGAGTGGGAGGAAGTACTGTATCGGAAGTTATAATTTTCCTATACTGAAAATGTAATTCCAATAGGTACTTCCCTCCACTCACCCTTCCTCCTCACTTTCCTCTGGTGCCTTAGTCTTCTGCCAAACCTCAAATTGATAGTTCAGTAGAGGCGTGTAGAGGGAGTCACATTCGTCACTGAGTATGTCACACTCCTATTGGTGGAGAAGTGACACATGATGATTTACGTGAGAGACATGTTGGAATCATTTGATTCCAATAGGGGGGAGCAGAAAGCTTATGGCATGCATAAAGAAAAAATTTGCATATAAATGGCAGCACTGGACGAGAATATCTAATCTTGTGAGTGGAGAGAAGTACCTATTGGAAATACATTTTTAGTATAGGAAAACTGTAATTTTTGGCCTTTACTGTACTGTTTGAAAAAGTTTTGTTTTAAGTAATAGCAGTCTTCAAAGCTCATATTGTACTTGACTGACACGTAATAAAAAGACATTGCATACTGTAACATACCTCTGTGCTGTTTAGAAATGTCCAGTAGTTCTCTCACCTGATGCATGTGGTCTTACTCTTGTGCCTGATTGCGAATCTCTTGGAGCATCAGATATTTAAAAACTTTCTATTTACTCAGAATGTCAGTTTAATGAGTAAATATGGCTTTGTTGTTTAATGCTGCTTTTTGGTGAAAATGATCTTTCCATCAGCTGAGATACCCATGGTTTTATATTACTTCATAAGTCTTAGTGGTTATTAATAGATCTTTAATTATGAATAAACGTTCAATTCTTGCTGTTGGTCAAAAACATGCAAAATGTCTATTTTGGTTAGATTTTTTTCTTATTCGAGTGATATCTTGATCGTGAAAAACCAATTTAGGTGACACACCATTCACAAAGTGTTAATGAACTAGAATATATTATTTTACTGGTTTTCAAGTAGGTTTCTGATGAAGTCTTGTAAACTTCATTTCAGTATCTTAGTGAGAACTTCAACAGCGGATGATAGTAGTAAAGTAATAAAAAAATTTAACCAATTGTTTTCAATTAAGAATAGATAAATAAGAGCATTTAATCAAAATAAACTTGATATAGATGGAGCTAGATAAAATAAACTAGTTAGTTGGAGCTTGCCAAGTTTTATAGTGTAAGTTGAGTGCAAAAAAAATTCTTAAGTTCTCTTCCATGTCTGGGTTTGTTTTAGAAAATAACTTAGAGGAGAAAATGGAGTAATAATCGTGAATGATAGTTTAAAATTAGTGGTTCGGCAATAAGTCCAGAGGCTTATAACCCTAAAAACTGCTTTTATCACCCACAGTGGGTACGGCACAGATAGCCCATTTGTGTAGCTTTCTACTTAAAAACAGTTATATTTAACAGTCAAAAACAATTGGAATGTAATGTGTGGTAAACAATTTATAAAAAAATAAATAACATTTTATAAGTGAATAATCACCTGCACCCACATTGTTAAGTTTTTATCATTTCATTCTTAGAATTTATGAGTTGGGGATATTTATGTCCTTAATATGATAAATTTATTGTTTAAGTTATTCATTGACGTCTTTAACCCTATAATAATGACTTGCTGCAAAGTGCACCATGTTATATAATTCTTGTTATATTTTGTTCCAGAAATAAAACGAGTTGATAAAATTCTTTAACACTTGACAAGAACTTTGAGAAAAGTATTTAGTTTGAGAAAAAATAAAATATTTTATTTTATTTTTTCCTATTTTCAATAAACAATTGTTATTTAATTTAGTTATTTGCACTCAGACTCTGAATAGTTCACCCGCAAGGTGATTTTCATTTTGAGTATAAAAACACTATTTTTTTATCTAACAGTTTTCACCTTTCATTTGCATAATCTTTAGAATCTTCTAAATGAATGTGTGAAGTTTTTTAAGGCAACTGTTTATATTTTATTTTCCATTTTCTTTACCATATCACTAACTCTAGCTATTATCATCGATGTATGGTGCAATGAAATGCTTGAAATTAAGAAATGGAAATATGTACATACTTTTAATTTCTTCGTTAAATAATTTAAAAATATCTTTTGGTTATATTAATAATTTCAGGTCTTTACCTTTTCACTTACAGTTTATTTTTAATGTTTTATTTTCCCCTACTATTTTTTATGGTTGATTATTTGTGTCGACACACATCAACTGGTACCCGTTGACAGTATGAACTGCAGAGATAACTTAGCCTTAGGCAAAACCTTTTTATACACACTTGGTAATGAAGCCTTGCAGAATAAGGGAAAGCTTTGGTTATTTTATAAAAATTATTAAACATTTCAAATATGAATTGTAAAACAAATAATGCTTAATTAACTAAAATATAAAAGTACATGTACTTTCTAAAGCTCAATGTTAAACTATAGATGGTGGGCGTGGCACCTGTCGGGGGTTGACAAAATTTATTTCTTGTTTCAACTGCATTCAGCAAAGCACCTTGAACCATACATGTCAAAAGTGCAAGTAAGCTACAATCTCATTTAGACTTGCATGTACTTGACTATTGCCATATGTTTTGGGCTATACTTCACCAAACTTCCACATTGAATAAAAACTAAGATAATGTAAAGCTTTGAACTGTAATGTATTTGTTAATAATAATTTCATTAAAAGACATTCATAGTAAAGTGGGTTAATTAAGTTTTGAATGTAACTCGGTGACATGTGCAGAAAGAAGTTTAAAGATGATGTTGTTGTAGGGTTAACGAACACATTGGTCAGTACTACTGCGTACAGACTATTAAACATGACTCGTGAAATTGCCACGAGGAAGACTTTAAAGAGTGTAAGAATTAAAATTTCCTTTTAACTATGTTTTCTTTTACTAAGGATTTGTTAAATTTAATAATTAACTTTGCCTTACTGTAACCAGTTGAATAAACCTTTAAGCACAAAACTTCAGATTTAATGTTCTTGTAACCTATGTATTTCAGTGTCAGCAACTGCTTTTTACAAAGCTCAACCGGTAATTGAGTTCATGTGTGAGGTTTTAGACATTAGAGACATCAGTGAGCAGAGGAAGCCATTAACTGACTCTCAGAGAGTAAAGTTTACCAAAGAGATAAAAGGTTTAAAAATTGAAATCACTCACTGTGGGACGATGAGACGAAAATACAGAGTTTGTAATGTAACCAGACGCCCAGCACAATTGCAATCGTAAGTTCACTGTTTATGGAAATCTAAATATTTGGTTATTACAGTAAATTTATTTGAAAATTGTCTGGTACTCTATCTCCTTTAGAAATTTTATTTTTAAATGTACTGAACAAAGCTGTTATTAGATAATAGTCTAAATTGGTCTGTAATTTGAGCACTTTTAAAGCTTATGAAAATGTGTTACTAATGTGAGCTACACAGTGAAGATGTGAGATATGCCAAAAATTTAGATGTTTTGAACAATTGTATAAATTGGAAAAGAACAGAAGTAAAATGAGTAGAGGAGTATTTAATGTTGATAATGTTTGAAAATGTTCAAAATTGTTATTATTGATCATGAAACTGTTCAAAATTGTTGATATTGTTGATGAAAATGTTTCAAACCGTAAAAACTGTTCAAAATTGTTAATATTGTTGATGAAAATGTTTCAAACCGTAAAAACTGTTCAAAATTGTTAATATTGATGATGAAAATGTTTCTAACCGTAAAAACTGTTCAAAATTGTTAATATTGTTGATGAAAATGTTTCAAACTGTAAAAACTGTTCAAAATTGTTAATATTGATCATAAAATTTTTCAAACCATAAAAACTGTTCAAAATTGTTGATATTGATGATGAAAATGTTTCAAACCGTAAAAACTGTTCAAAATTGTTGATATTGATGATGAAAATGTTTCAAACCGTAAAAACTGTTCAAAATTTTTAATATTGATGATGAAAATGTTTCAAACTGTTCAAAATTGTTAATATTGTTGATGAAAATGTTTCAAACCGTAAAAACTGTTCAAAATTTTTAATATTGATGATGAAAATGTTTCAAACTGTTCAAAATTGTTAATATTGTTGATGATAATGTTTCAAACTGTAAAAACTGTTTGAAATTGTTAATATTGTTGTGTTTCTTACAGGTTTCCTCTGCAGCTAGAGAATGGACAGACTGTAGAGTGTACTGTGGCAAAGTACTTTCTTGACAAGTACAAAATGAAATTAAGGTCAGTTCTACACATAAATTAAAAAATTATTTATTTCGTGAACACGTAGCAAAAATTAAGAAAACAGCCCACAAATATTTTGTGCGATGTGTACCGGACTAAGTGCGCGTGTGTATGTATTAAACAACTGCAAAAACAGTTCCATACATATAGGGTTAGTAATTTATTTTCACTGCTAAGATCACAACATAAATAATTATTCTACCGTTAAAAACTAAAAACCTGATGATGCTGTGAAATTAACAAAGTGTTGAAATGTGTATGTTAGTCTTAAAGGTATGGCCTGGTAGATATGCCACTTGACTCACGGTCTGTGGATTATATGAGCAAATCCTGTCACTGAACATGCTTTCCCTTTCAGCCTTGGGGGTGTTATAATGTGCTGATCAATCCCACTATTTCTTGGTAAAGAGTTGGCAGTAGGTACTGTTAACTAGATTCCTTTTATCTGGTTTATCTCTTCCAAATTGGGGATGACTAGTGCGGTAGGCCGTGTAGCTTTGCATAAAATTCAACAAATAGAGGTTCTGTTAAGTACACGTTCCCCACCTTAGGAACTAGGAACATAATTTACTTAACTAATCCTTAGCAGATAAATTTTGTTTTAGGGTATGATAATTAGAACTGAATTTTACACCCAAGAAAAGTAAGTTTGTATTTATGGATCAGTTGGACTTTGAAATCATTTCTAATTAAATAAAACTAGCTAAACGTGTTTTCTCACATTAGTTTTAACCTGTATAAAGGAAAATGTTATTAAAGTGAATGTAATGAGAATATTTTCCCTTTAAACATTTATTATTGTATTAGAAGTGACTGGCTGTAAAGAACTATGTATTTAATCTTATTTTTACTTTTCTCTAGGTATCCTCACTTACCATGTTTGCAAGTAGGCCAAGAACATAAGCATACATATCTACCTCTTGAGGTATGAATGATAGATTTGGTTCACTGTAGGGAAATTACTTGTAGTTATTTTGTTTATCCTTTTCTTCTCTTTCTTTTGTCCTGAGTGTCTTGTTTCTGTGTGTGTGTGTGTGTGTGAGAGAGAGAGAAGAAAAAAAAAAAAAAGTTAAGAAACTTGTTAAAAATAAAGAACACTTAAACCTGATATAACTAATCAGTTACATTTTAATGATGGGTAAAACATATTGCATGTACTGGCAATATGATAACTTATTTCTTTTAATAGAAAGAAAATATTTATCATTTCAGTAACCATATTGTAATTATTTAAAGTATTTTGTTATCAGGAAGAAACTGTCAGTAACAGAATCAAATTTAGATATTTTAAATGAGAAACAAGTAAAATCCACCAAAGGCCCATGTGTTTGAAAATAGGTTTAATTGTTTTAGCAAGTTATAATAATAATAATAATAAATATTCAAAGCTTGTTCTTGCTATGCAGTACTTTCTTTAATAACAGGCTTAAATATGTGATCACTAAAATGTTTAAACTTTACAAACCAAACACTTGTCTCTAAGTACTAGAATAAAATATGCAAATAAATTTTAAAGTTGTCAACACACACTTTCTACAATTATAAATTTGTGTTTGTATGCCATAGACTTCAGTTCTCATTTAAATATTGAATGAAGACCTTCTGACCAAAAATTAAAGCTATGTTATGGAAAAATTTGAAGGAGTAATATTTATTCTAATAAATATTTGTCTTGCATGTTAAGAGCAGTATAAAATTGGTCGGAGCACCAGCCTGATAACTGAAGCACAGATTTAAATCATACATTTTGTCAGTTTTCACTTGAGAAAATTTATAAAAATAATATGCTGTTATATAATAATATATGTTATATATGAACATAGTTTCTGTTCATATCAATGATGTATTTCAAAATTACTGAAACATACTGCACTTGCTTTTGTCAGCTACTACAAACTTTTAAATTACTATTCACGTTGCAGGTGTGTAATATAGTTGCAGGACAACGTTGTATTAAGAAGTTGACTGATATGCAGACTTCCACCATGATCAAGGTAATACTGATACACAGATATTAACCTCTTTGTGCCCAAGAGTTGTGTAAAATTACTGAAGTAAAAACAAAGGGTAAATATAAAATAGTGTACAGTTTTTTTCTTAGCTACCACTGCAATAGTAATATGCATGGGTGAATTAACAAGGTTCCCACTATCCTCATTTGTATGAGGTGGTTTTAATGTTCCTTGTTTCCCTGAAAAACCAAACTTCTGCAGATTTAAAACTTGTATGTGGTTCAGTAAATCTCATTTTGTTTGGGACATTTCTACAGATTTCCATCAGTATCAATGAACAGGGTAAAAATATTGCATCTTTTAGATTCAACTGGCTTTGTTTATTGCGTATATAAAGTGTGTAATTTTGAATGTCTTCTTGGTATTTTGTTTTTATGTATTTTGTTTTTTAATGAACTTATTTCTTTCTGGCAAAATATTAAGAATATATGCATATTTTCATTAAAATCAAAATTTAAATATATAAGAAAAGGAAAAGAGAGAGAAAACTTAATAAATTAGAGGAACTAAGTAGGACCTTTTTGAATTCCTTAGAAATAAAAAGTGGGTATCATAGTGAAAACTGTGTGAACATAATTGTGAATTTTTAAATTATGATGATAGTGTGTTTTAAGAATTTCAACAAGTGAAACTAAGATTTGTTTATAATAATTCCACATTTTGACAATTTTTAAATGACTTAAACCTCATTTTATAGGCAACTGCAAGATCTGCTCCTGATCGAGAAAGAGAGATAAACAACTTGGTACGTAAAACGTCATTCTTGTTTATTTACTTAACATTCAAAGCTTTGACTTTTGTTTTGGATTGCATGTGAGGTGTGATTTTTATTTTTTGTTTCTAGTAAAAGTGTTTTGTTCATAGTTATCAAAGATACAAGCATTGGATGTTTCTGTCAAGACAATGAATTACTGGTCTACACATTAACTATAAACTTAGTCATACAGATTGTTAACCCTATGAGAACTGTGTTAGTGCTTTGTATCAGTCGTGTTTCTTTGAAATTATATATAGTCATACTTAGTCATACAGATTGTTAACCCTATGAGAACTGTGTTAGTGCTTTGTATCAGTCGTGTTTCTTTGAAATTATATATAGTCATACTTAGTCATACAGATTGTTAACCCTATGAGAACTGTGTTAGTGCTTTGTATCAGTCGTGTTTCTTTGAAATTATATATAGTCATACTTA